ATACACCGCGAGTCCCACCTGAATTTCTCACGCTTTCTCCGCCAGCTGGCTCGCCGGACGGTTCAGCTAGGCGCGACTGCGCCACTACTTCTTTTACGACTACCGCTAGTCGGCCGCTCACACAAGGCTAATTCGAGGCGCTCCAGTGTCAATGTCGCGGTGTCGCCCGGTGTCTTCGCTCGGGATAATCGTTTCCGGAGACCGTTTCGCGAGAGCACCGAGGCCCGTCGTGAAGGGAAGGGAGGAGACGCACGACTTCCCTCGGATCTCCGATTATAGCTTAAAAACGATGACGCACGTCCACCGGTTAATTTGAACAAATGCTAAAATCACCTGGGTTTTGCTAATGAAATTTCACGAAGATTTCGCTCTCGTCTACGTAGAGCTCTTAGCTTTAATCACGGTCAAAGCTTACTCGAGGTATTTCTGCTCCGATTCGCTTCGATCTTTCTTGTAGAACTTCCCGCAAATGATTTGTATTTCCACTTGATGATTTGCATTTATACTTCAAGACGGATGCACTTCGAAGTCATTAATAATTCGATGCCGGTGTTTCATTTAAAGGGAAAAGAAATCAAACAGACGTTTCCAAGATTAGTGGGAAGCATTATGAACGTTTTTTTTTTTTTTTTTGATAATAATGTGTACATTCGTCATTTCTTTTATAACATTGACGAGACATTTAGTCATTTATTCGAATTAATAACCGGTGGTATATTATCGAGTTGAGATTTTGATGCCACTTCGTACAATTAAATCTATCTCGCTGTCTTAGCTTTACTCTGTAGAATTCGAGTTTTAATATCAAAGCAAAATGTCAACTCCGGTCCTCGCGTTGCTCGCCGACTCTCTCTCTCTCTCGCAAGCTCCGCTTCTACTCGCGAGGATCACGGGGATCGCGATTCCCGTTGGATCGAAAGCTCCTCTCGCGGCGGCGACACGGCTGCTGCGGTGGCGCGGCAAACGGGTTTTGTCGCGGCCTTGCCGTGGACCGGCAGGGAAGACGTCGCGCTCGCTAATTGACAGAACGGACGGTCGCGTGATTCGAGGCGAGTGGCTGGCGGCACGTGCACGTGACTCGCTCTCGGACTTTTCCCCCGATGGCATTAATCCATACGAGGCGCGCGGATATTCTCTTTCTCGCTCGGTTCCTCGCGCGGCCGATATCGGCAATAACCGGGCACGTGCAGAAGCACGTGGAATCACGTGCCGCACGTGATACCCACCGCTGCTCCTGCGCACCGTCGCGGGGAATTGTTGTTATTATACCAGCCCGTGTGTGTCCTGGCCGTCCCTATGCAACCGGCATTGATTTTCTACACGCGCGTGCGAAGGTGTGAACGGCGAGCGTTACGGGTGTTGGTTCTCAGGTTGCGAGATCGCAATTTGCGGGATAATTGTAACGGCGGAGGCTGGTCTTATTGGAAAATCAATTTGCGGAAATCGCGCGCATCTCTCTCTTTCTCTCTCTTCCTCTCCGTGGAGAAATTCCTCGTCGGTTTCGATTCCTTCTGTTCGTAATGTTTTCCGACATCCGACATCAGTTTCACGTTGAATCTAATTAGTTTGACGTTAAGTCTTTGATATTACAAATGGAGGTTTCGTCGTTTCCCCCACTTGAAAGACTTAATATGGAACTAAATAGACTCAATTTAAAACTAAAATTTCGACTTGGGGGTTCAGCCGTAAACCGATTTCCAATTTCGTTTCTCAGACGGGTCACGAGTGAATGATTAGAATCGTCGTTTTTGCGAATTCAGCGGAAAGGTCAAGCCGAACGCGTTGAGAACTGGCTCCTCAAATTTGCGAAAGAATCGGGAAAGAAGCGTGCGAGATCACGGACGATTTGCGAACGTTAAAGATCGGTTACGCGCGCGCGCATAATCGATTTCACGAGCGCGCATGCCCGGCCGAGCTTATTAAATTTGACATTCCTTTGTGATGCGGCTTAATATTCAATATAAATGCAGAACGCGTGCGTTTAACCGGTGTTCCCCGGGATTACCGTCCGCGCGTGAATCGATCTTTGCGCGTCCGTCGCGTGTGCGATGTTTGATTAGCGGTGAAGAAAATCCATGTTTCCGCGACCAATCGATACCTCGAGCTTGATTCGCCCGAAAAGGTGAGCCTCTCCCCTTATCGCGAAGCGGTACTTCCCGCGCCGGTCCCGCTATTTACCCGTCGACCCTGCCGGCGCTTCCAGCTGCAAAATGCAGTCGCAGTCCTTGCAGGCCTTGCGGAGTACCTGCGGCTAAAGGCGACGGACGCGACTACACGTAGGCGACGGATCTCGTGAGTGTAGTTCACGACGAGCGCTGGAATCACGTGCTCGCGCGGACGGCCGTTCATCGCAGGCCTTTACGCGGCTTCCCGCGTGCGTGTTGTAACACCTATTTTATCGATGTTTATTGGGCAAATGTCAGCGTGCCGGATCCGTGACGCGAGGGGGACAATTGCGAGAGAGAGAGAGAGAGAGATAGATAGGTTTTACTCAACTCCGGGAGTAAAATCTCTTCGGGCATAGAAATTTATATAACAACAGTTGCTAACAAGCGAGACGCAAAGGAAATGCAGTAGAAAATTGGGAATGCAAAAACAATAGAAAGAGGGGAGGGAGGGAGGGAGGGAGAGAAGATTTATTAAAGAAGAATTATTACTGAACTTACAGAGAAAATATATTATATTAGATATGAAACGTCAGCGACGTGAAAACATACATACTGTAAAAGATTGCAGTTTGGAAAATTAGAAGATGATAAGAAAGAGAGGGAGAAAGGGGAGAGGGGAAGATCGGTCGTAGGTAGGTATTCATAGTCGGATCTTGTATTTGGGACCTTAAGTTCATCTTCAGATGTCTCGTAGCCAATGAAATGAGCCGTGCATTATCTAAAGATGGACTCAAGACGATCTTAAATATAAGACCCGACTGTGAATACCGGCCATAGAATCGTGACGGGAACTGGAGACGCCTGAATCGTCGCAATTTCGAGCCACGTCGTGTCACGTCTGTTCCGAACAGACGGCACACACTGTGCGGGGCTATCGGAATTAGCATCTGTAGAAGGAAGTGTTCCACTTTCGCAAACGGAGGATAGAAAGAGGGTGGAGAGGAGCATAATTGTCCGGAATAAAGTCGGTAACGTAATGATTACGGTCGAGAGCCAGGTGGAGAGAAAGAGAGGACGACGTCGTCGGGTGTGACTCAGATCGCCGTTGCCGAAGAATCGCGACGTTTCAAGTTGCGAAATTTCCTCGTCTCCGGTCTAAATCGCGACGAGACGAGAGAAGCGTCCTGCGATTGTTCCATATGGCGCATCGCTTTTAATTAAAGAGAAATACCTACGATACGTGCAGTTTAGTTTCTGCATAGAGAAAAAAAATTGACGGACGAAAGAACTCGCTTCTATGGCTAAGAACTAGCTGTCCATGTAATGCAGTTGATTAAAATTTAATTCATTTTTTTTTTCAGATTTAGTTTTGAGCTCACATAGTTAAAAACCAAGTCTGGTATCTAAATTCCAGTCTTATTATATGGACAGCTAGAGTTCAGCTAATTCTGTTTCCTTTCTTTTTTACGCGAAGAACTCAGTTCCTGCAATCGATTAGGCAAGTGATATATACTTAATCCAAATAAAATAATTTCATATTCCTTAATAAATGTTTACTCGAATATAACACTTTTCTCTTTCAGTGTGTACAGCCGAGCTTTCGCCTGGTTACCAGACAATTTAAAATTCAGTTACACCAACGAAATTGTTTCTTCCGCGTGTATCTACGTACAGTCAACATTTTTACGATATTTTACGTAAAAAAATATGAAAAAAATTATAGAAAAATTCTGGGGAATTATAGAGACCAATTTTGAAGTCTTGGGGTAGGTCGAGTTTGAATTTTTCAGCAATACGTTTGAATTGTTTGATGTTTCTTTCTTAAAAGTTAATTTCGAATATTTGCCACGCATAAATTGGGCGCTTATCATATTTGTGCGACATATCTCACGTCGGGATAAAGCGCTGTCATATTTGCATCGTATCAAGAAAAGATTAATAGCAGAGGCGATAAGCCCTCTATTGCCGGGGATGTGTATAAGCTGATTATTATATTGTGCGCATGCAATGATACATCAGTATGGAAAAGGATAATGCCTTCGAACACGCCTCACACGCGAGCTCTCCGCGGTAGATGACCGCATTGTGCAAGGTTTTCGCCGTGAACTTTAAATCATAGATATAGAATAACTTGAGATCACTTTACCTTTGCCGTTCAGACATCGGTGTCGACTAACGCGACCGCGACAATGGAGGCGCGACTCTTCTCCCTGACAATTCGCGGTGAATAGGCCGATATTTTTTGCATCAACATCTCATCCGTCTCGTAAAATTCGTACTCGGGACGTTCGTTAAATTTCTCATATAACGCAAACGAATGAACGAACGTGTTCTTATTCGTTCTACACGCACGGTGAGAAACAATTCAGAGATATAGTAAATTTAATGCTCTGTCGTAGCAAATAAAAATATATACAGAGCGTTTCTTAAGTGTATTGTCCGATGTTTTAGGGATTGATTTTTAAGGTCGTTTCACGGAGAAAAGTTCACACGGAGATATGTTTATTTCTTTATAAAATGTTAAACTCATGAAGGAAATATATTTATTTCTTCATAAAATGTCAACCTGTCAACTCAAAAATCAATTAAAATATTGGTACTTAACTGTATATTTATTTATTACTTATTATAAAATTTAAAAATCTACAATCTTCCGTCCTTCTGAGTCATTTTTACTCCGAACTTCACGTCGTCGTACACGTGCGCAGGTCTCGTGCGATTCTTTCGTAGTCGTTGTTACTCACAGGCACCGGTTAAATTACGGTTAGTTATTCACGATAATTAATAAAGAAAAGCAGCCGCGAACGTGTGACACGTACGATCTTAATTAAAGCGGGAACGAAGGCAGAGCGGAGCAAGAAACGCGTTAGAGCGTGAAAAACTGTTAAATACCTGGCATTATTCTCTCCTGTGGAGGATATCCCAAAATTTCGGTGCCGATTACCAGCAGGACAGCCACGATTCCAACGGGATGCATCTTCATGATCACTTCTGACTCGAGCTATTTCCCGATCACAGATCTGTTTCCGAAAATTCGTAAGAAAGAAAGAAAGAAAGGGAGAGAGAGAAAGAGAGAGAGAGAGAGAGAGAGAGAAAGAGACTCGCGAGCACGTGAACGGCGAAAAGCGAGGCGCGCGGCGCGATTAATTCGCTTCAAACTGGTCCATGTGTTTCGAGATGTGCGAGAATTCGTCCGTGGGAGATCGTCCAAGGTGTTAAATCCAAGTCTAAGTTCGTCCGTCTGTACGATACTGCCGGGCAGAGCTCCTGTCGCTGTCGGACTGTGCGGTAGTCTGGAGGGCCGGCTGGCGCTTTCACTGGCTTTATACGCGCGCATGAAAGCACCTCTTCGGAAAGAGGGGATTCCGTACAGCTCTCGTCCATACGTCACCGGACGTACCGCCGGGCAAACTCGCGGAGGACCGTGAAATTTCGTGACATTAACATTTATGGCTTGCTCTACGTTATGTTAGTACCCGGAGCGACGGATAATAATTGGATTGGTGCGAAAGATTTCTCATTTTTCTCATTGTTAGGAGAAAAAGTAACGGGCTTTCCGAGACACAGTCAAGAAAAGTTGGATTAACGATTGAATAATTGAATTACGAAAAGTCTCGATGTTTCTGACTTATCGCAAATTTAATTATTCGCCAACCAAGACTCTGTGTTGACTCTTACAAGCTTAATTTATTTCTGTATTTTTCTTACTGAATTTTCGCGGGAAATCTGAATATTGAAAGGAAAATAGGAAGTCCTCGTTCGGAAAGATATCGAGTCGATGTTGATCGAGTTCTGATTCGTGAAAATTATTAATCCTTTGAAATTGGATTATTTCGTCTCCTATTTTATTTGGCAAACACGACGAATCACTTTTGCATCAACCTATACCATTACTATATGTATGTATGTGTGTGCGTGCGTGCGTGTGTGTGTATGTGTGTGAAGATTGAAGAATCTTTGTAAATCCAGAAAGGTAGTGACGGTGGGACAGTCTCGTTGAAATCGACTTCTCGCATACGAACGTTTTGCTTTATGACCGGCTCGCTCCACCGCGGTGGTTTAATACTTTTGTACAATTAATCTTCGGGCAGTTCGATATTTTGCGCGTCCACTTTCCCTTCTTATTGCCGATCGGCGTGTCGAGATCCATTTATCGCGAATTATACACTAATTTATTAAATTCAGGGACAGATCCGATGTCGTACGTGTTTGTTCCCGCGATATCGCCGGCTCGATCAGCGGCGCACACGAGTTGAAAGGAAAGCGCCCGGGAGCGCGTTGGTTTCGAACCAACGACCGATTCTCGATTTCGTCGTTTTTCGCTGCAGATCGGCGTATCCGCGGATACTTCGCGCCGCCTTACGTGAGCGTTTCCGATTAGCGGAGGATTTGCGGAGCGACCGACGGAGCGTCGGACAAGCCGTCGTATCTGCTCGGTATAATTATGAACACGCGATTACTGACGTGCGTTCCGCGCTATCGATCCGACGTGGTGGACGAGGCATCGATCGTGTAGTTAACTACAATGTCCGTGCCATTATCGAAACGACCACTCGTTACAATGGACCTTTTCGTGATTAATCATCGATAACGTCGTCGTAACCAGGGAAAAACGCGATAAGAGGGAATCGACCCGAGTCGAAATTATGACGCTGCTTTGACGCTGTTGAGAAGATTCCGGAGTCACCCTGTTTCCCCGCAGATTTATTAATGCTATATTCGTTACTGGCTGCACAGAATTAAAAATCCTTTTGCACAATTATAACACGCACGTTAATGCAGTTCGAGGATGTTTGATTTTATTTGGAAAAAAACGAAAAGCGATTTTTCGTTTTTCGAAATTTTATCTGAGAAAACGAAAAAAAGAGGTTTTTATAATTTGATCACTTTTTTCGCTGTAGAATTAAAGATTTAATGTAAGGTCGAGATTTCGACTCGAGGAGACGGAAATTTCCGCGGGTCCTTTCGTTCGCTGTGTAAGTCATCGTGATTGTTTGCATTGAAACGTCGCGCATCCGCTCGCGTGTGGGAAAATAAAGCCCTCGAGGGACGTCTTTTATTCATTATGTACGCTATTTATATATCTTCCTGAGAAATAATGTTTAAACTGGGTCACCGAAACCTTGCACGATGCAGATTGCATATCGCACGCGGGAAGAAACGGATTTATCTCAGTAGTTAATAACAATAACTGAATTTACAACAGAAAAGCGCAATATGAAGCGATGACTGCAATAGCGCGGGTCTCTGTTGACAAATTCCAGGTGGATTCCCATGGAAATTCAGTGAAATTCATACGAATCTAAATAAAATAATAAAAATACATATTACGGTCCACATAATTTGTAGAAATCCGTATGGTTTGTGAAAATTCGTACAGGAATCTATATAGGTCCCTAACTAGGACGGTAAGGTTTGCCGCAAATTCCCAAAGGCAACCGTGGGATTTCATATGGAATTTCTTACATGGATTCCCACGTGGTTTTTTTCAACAGGGACGTAATCGACGTCTATCGTGGTTTCCACGATGGGTAAACGCTTAAATTATCTTCGCGTCGAAGAAATCGCTGCTGATCGGGCGAATTTCTTCCAATGAGTCGGGTAGTCGGGTCGCGAAACGAACCTGCAGTTTGATTCATCGCCGACCGCACCTTGCCGGTCAGTCGCTGTCCTAGATGAGGCATTACTGCACCCGAGATCATTATCCTTGGTCGTCGGACCTAATTCGTTCGTACATTTCGAAAGCTTCGGCGATCCTCCCGCGAGTTGTGCGGCTTGGATTGTGTAACTGCGAGGGCGCCGGTCTAATTCATAACGCTCGGGTCGCATTCGTGATCGTGCATCAACGTTATGGGTAAATATTTTGTCACACATATTTCGACAGATACATCTCTCAAGGATATTCTCTGGAAGTTTGGCGTAGAACTTCAAAAAACTGACAGAAGCAATTTCTGCGAAACAGGAATTCTTCGGAGCGTCCGGGCAATCGACGTGAGAGTACATCGAGCTGAGTAGATTTAATGGAACGATGTTTAGGAATTTTTACAGCGCATATTTTCGAAGATTAAGATTGAAACTTTCCAAAGGAACACTCTATATAATTTCTAACATACGATAAATATTGATATGATGCCATGATCATCGATAAAATCATAAAGTAGGTCGCGCATTAAGTCGCACGTGGATTGGATAGTGAATTATATCGTGGCGTGTTTTTCGATTTGCTGGCGTTATACGTTTTACTCTCGCTCTCGCAATCTCGGCCGTGGATACTCAGCCGAATCAGATCGATTGATCTTGAGCCGATGCAAATTCTACGTTACGCTAAACCCAATTACGCTCGGTTAGCGCAATGATCTCATATTCGTAACGATCGCAGCGCACAGTGAGCAATCTATTATCATCAGGATAACAAAGGGCTCTATCGCGCGAGTCGTCTCCGCTCCGGCAGATTTGAGTTTCTCATGACGAAGGCACGCTGTCCGATTATCTCGCCTTTCTTGCGAACTCACAAACGATCCGTTGCAGTTGCTCTCCGCTCCGACCGCTCTAACATCGCGGGAAGTTTTCTTATGCAAATGAAAAGTAAACGAAGCTACTTTATGGCGTATATACGTGCTCGACCTCGAGCACGCTTGAGTATTTTTGCGCGAGGTACAAGCGCTCGTAAATAGTTGGGTTATTGCGATTGAGTCCGCGATAAATTCACAAATGCATTTCCCAATTTCTTTCGAGCATTATCGATTCGACGTTAAAATGGGAAGATTTTATAAAAAGACGCTGCTGTTTAAGAGCACTTTAATAAAATCACGGGGCAAATAAATTTTGCTGGAACAGCAAATTATTTAATATAGTAACGTTAAAAAGATCTGGCTTGGACAGCAGAAAGATTTGTTAATTACTATTTATATATATAATAGGCTAGATATATAGTAAGCAGAATAATTTGGTTACGTCTACGGAATCTTATCGTTGTCGCAATGATGTTTCGCTGCAACAGCAAAATTATTTTTCGCCGGCACTATATCAACAAACAATTTGCTGTTCCGGCAAAACTTTTTCCCCGTGTTATGTAAATGTAATGACAGTCGTTGCATTTGTACACGGCCTAAAATAACCGGGGCTCGGCATGATTATACTAAGGAAAGCGTAAATGTTACGATTTTTATTACAATTATATAATATGATATCAGATCGCTGCTAATTAGACATAAATAGGAAGACATATCTTATATCTGCGGGACTTTTTTTAAGTGGACATGTCGAAATATCACACGACTCGACGAAACCGGACGGGGATACAGTTAGATCTTAATAAACTACGAAGGAAAGGATGGGCGGGAAACCGATAACGATCGTAGATAACAGCAACGTTAATTAGTAAGTCCGATTTCGCGTGCTGATTTTATTCGAACTGTATTTCATAGCATTCTCCTTTCCCTCGAGCCAATGGTTGTCTCGTCGATTCCACGCGTTTGCACTGATAGCCGACGCATTAATCTCGGGTGGTGCAAACATCCTTAATAATTAGCCACGCTAAGGGGAAGTGTCGACATACACACGCTCGTGCGCAGCACCGTTACTCCGGCACCGTCTCTCCTATAACCCAACATTTTTCCCCATTAATTACATTCCCGCTTCGATCCTTTCGCAAAGTGCACGGAGTGCCAAAGTACTTGACCCTGATCTTAATTAGCGCGAAAATCGAAGCTGGCTACGCGACGACTTATTTAGGGGACTTATTCCTCGACGAACGTGCATTGTGCACGAGAAAATCAAAATCTCGAAATCCGTGATGAACTCCCGAAATACAATTTGCCCGAAATATCGGGAGTTTACAATTTTGTCGAACAGTCATTATACCGAAATGCTAATATTAAAAGAAAGAAAGAGAGAGAGAGGGGGAGAGGCAATATTCGGAAATGTAGTGCAATTTTCTCGAAGTATATATAATTGTTCCGAAGGAGAAATATTACCGCGTAA